GAATTGATCTATTGTACTAGCTTGTAGAACTCCTTGGAGCAATGCATGCTTTATAGTTTAAACTTATAGCAAGGAGTGTATTAAATTCCACTTTTGGAAAGTGGATGTATTTTTCCCTTCTGATGCATCCATTTAGAACTTTTTGAGAAATACTTTTAACCTTGAATATATATTCATGGCAATGATCACTATCACATGAAATACAAACCGCTCATCAGGAATTGAGGTATCTTTATATGGATTACGTCTTGTTTAATAGGTTGTTGCTGTTATTCAATTTCATGATGTACCATGTGCTTTAGGAAAGGTTTGGGCACTTATTTTTGTTCATATTCCCCATTGAAGGATTTACTTGACCTTAGGCCTCTAGAAAACATATTTCACCACATTTCTTAATGCATTCCTCTCATGCATGGCTTTTTCAGCTTCATAGTCTAGAGGCACACATGCATGTTTTTTATTGAGAAATATTAATTGAATGGCATGGTGATTCATAGTAATCTTAATTATAATTTTTTTTCTATTGGATGTTATTGTAACTTGTTCATTTTCATGAGAAAGTAGGGCTTAAATATCCATGCTTATAAGCTTCCCTTGGTAGAGTAGATTGGACGTAGTTTCTCTAGTCGCCCATCTTCTTACAGTCGGTCATCTACTACTCAATGACATGAACCCATAGATGTGCCATCAATGACCCGCGAACCCTCTGGACTTGATCCCCACAAGTCACAATATCATAAAAACAATTAAAATTTCCGTCAGCAGGTATATTAATAGAAAAGCGATAAAGATGATTAGCATGTTCTGGTATGTTAATGCACTGCCATTTAAGTCTGCAAGCTCATATTTCTACCCACAAATTGTAACTCTATAGCTGAGGCAGAGTCAGGTGTTAGAGGTCCAACTGCGAAAGAGCTTGCAAGGCCATGTTTAGAAGTTGTTGTTCATGATGTTGATAAGCATTGCACAGTTCAAGGTCTGCTGGCCAGGTACAGGAGTGACCATCATGACTGACGGTTGGAAGGACAAATCCCATAGGTATCCTGTCAATTTTTTAATAGCTTACCCTAGGGGCATTGTTTACCACTCTAGCATTGATTTATCAGGAAAGAGACATATTGGGAGACTGATATGTGCACACCTAGACAAAATTGTAGATGAGATTGGGCCTGAAAATATGGTCTAAGTAGTGACTGATAATGTCGCGAATTACAGAAAAGCAGGCTTGTTGCTAATAGAAAGAAGACTCAATCTTTATTGAACTCCTTGTGCTACCCATTGTATTAATTTGATGCTCAAGGATATAGGGAAGCTGAAGAGGGTTAAATATTGTATTTTGAAGAACAAGTTGATTACAAGGTTTATATACAACCACACGTATCTTCATGTTTTGATGAGGGAGCATTGCATGCGAGAGATTATCAGGGAGTCCACTATCAGATTCGCTATAGCGTTCCTTACGATATAATCGATATTGGTAAACAAGGTAGGATTGAGGTCAATGATACGTTATAATGAATGGCAAACTGATAAGGCAGCAATGAGTCAACTTGGAAGGCAGGTTGAAACTACCTTTCTCGATCGGAGGTTATGGGCTGGATGTAACCATGTTGTTTATGTAACTGAACCTTTAGTACGGGTGTTGAGGTTAAGTGACTCTGATGATAAACCCGTAATGGGATTTCTGTTCGATGCAATGAGACGTGCAAAGGAAGCTATATTTGAGAATAACATATGGAATGAAGAGATATTGGAGATTGTTGATCGTAGGTGGAGAGACCAACTGCACCATGATATCCATGCAGCAGGTAATTTATGATTCACTGTCGCAATTCATGACTCTTTCTCAACTCCGAGAAAAGTTACCATAATTAATAATATAACAAATCATGTGCAGGATTCTTTCTTAATCCACAAAACTTGTACTCCATGCCACTTTAGAAGATGCAGATATCATGGAGGGGGTAAGAAACTGCATCTACAGGCCTGAACCTGATCTTGAAACTCAGATGGAGTGTACGCAACAGGTAAACCTTAATCAAAACGTGTATGTAATAAAAGTTCAATTTACAATAATGAATTGCATTTCTATGTAGTATTAATTTCTTGTATATGCATCTTGTTATTTCTAGCTTATCATGTACATGGAAAAAATGGGGCATTTGCATACAACAATGCCAAAAAAGCAACTGCAAAATTGCACCCATGTTAGTTTTAAGTTAAAACTTGCAATAGTTTAGTACACTACTATTTGTGGTTTTTTTTAAATCAATTTTTTTCTTTTATTAAGTATTTCTATGTTTGTCTGTGTCAACAAAATGGTGGACGATACGCGGAATTCAAATAAAGCAATTACAAAAGATTGCCGTTAGAATTTGAATCAAACCTGTGCTGCCTCGGGCTTTGAGAGAAACTGAGTACATTTCAGTGGATGCACGCCCTGATGCGAAATAGGTTAAAGACACAGATGCTGCACAACTTGGTGTACGTTTATTATAATTTGAAATTGAGAGAGAAACATACAAGGAGGACCCCCACAGACTACATGCCGCTCAACCTTGATTACATCTTCTGGAGGGACCTCGCCAATGAGTAGGTGTCACTAAGGACCTCACCACTAGACCAAGATTTTCTTAGTGGGGCAGTTACCGATATGATGATAATGTGAATGTTGCAGAATCCAATGAAGGAGACATGACAATGGACATGGATGACGATAAGACACAGGATGATGAAACAGATGGGACAATAGAAAACAATTGGCAAGAACTAGTCATCTAGGAATGTGAAGGGGCGTAATATGATGCGATGCTTGATGAATTTAATGAAATTGGCTCGAGAGGAAGTCCAGGCATTGAGGCATAGGAGTTACTCAATAAGGGAGAGACGAGGCCGTAGCCGTCACCGTAACCTGGTCATTCATGATGATGACAATATTGAAGATGTTGAGGGCCATAACACAGAACAGGGTGGGGGTAACACAGAACAGGTGGGGGAGAGCATGAAGGCTGGACGAGTCTAGGAGACTTTGGCCAAAGGGGTACCATAAGAAATATTCCTGACTGGCGAGGGGGCACAACTGCGGCATTACAGACTCCACCAAGCCTTACTCAGATTTTTCGCCCCGTAGATTCTGATAGTGAAACACAACAATATCATGATCCCCCTTGCCACTTTCATTACTATTAGCATTGTTAGTTGGACTTTGTAACTTCATTTATTAATGTCAAATTCTAAATTGTCTTGCATATCTTCATAGTATTCAAATATTAATTTATATAAAAAGTTGTTTCAATTTTTTTTGTAAGATAAATGTATGTAATATAATAATATACACTTAATCTAAGTTTTTCTAATTTTTTTCAAATTTTTTTAAATTTTATTTGGACGTTTTTTACCTTTTTTTTAAAAAAAAAAGAACTACTTGACCGGTTAAAATGGTTAACCACCTCAGTTAATCCTGTTCTGGTTCAAACCACTCCCAGCCCCAAAACCGGTTAACCATTCCGATTCGATTTTGCGAACATTGCTTTGTATACATTCCTTTAATTAAGGGTGTGGGTTATATAAATGTCAACTTTAAATTGGGGCCTTAGCAGTAGTATTGTTGAGCCCTATAGGGAGGTCTCTGCCTTCATTCTCATCAAAGGGTAGGGGCCCAAATCCCCACTGACATACAACTTTTTAGAATGGGCTGGGGGGCTTTGGGCCTTAGCGGTAGTACCAACAAGTCCTATGATGCAGTTTCTGATTTCATTCTCACCTAAGGGTTGGGGATTTGGTACTACCCCTATGATGTAGTCTCTTACTTCATTCTCATCAAAAGGAAGCGGCCCAAATCCCTACTAACTTACCTTTTTACTAACCTAAAAACAAAACTTTAGATGGCCTTACTCCAGTGATGAAAACTTTAAGATGGCCTAGAATTCTATTTTCACACAAAACTAGAAAATTTAAAGCTCTAAAAATGATATAGATCCAACACATTAAAGTTTTGAAAATAAACAATGATCCAACATATTTATAAACACCTTAAAGTTTTGAAAATAAACAATTTATATAATATGTTACAAGATTTAAAGCTCTAAAAATGCTATAGATCCAACACATTTATAAACACTTTAAAGTTTTGAAAATAAATAGTCTAGATAATATGTTACAAGGTACACTATATATCAAGAGTGTCACCTGCAAGTGTCCAATATACTGACAGCAAGGGTTTAAAATCTTAAATTTTTTTTCACAACCATAATGGTCAAAGTCGAGATGATTGATTTAAAAATTTTCCCACACCAAAACTATCTTTTTTTTGTGAGTTTTGAGATAAGACCTCACTTATTATGATTCGAATGTAGGCCGATGAAAATATTTTTTCTTGTTCATTTATGAGTGGGTGAACCATTATTGTACATGTTGTACTGTTCCAAAATATGTGTTAAACCTGGACCATCTGGATCAAACTTTGACGAGACGCAATCGGAAAGCATATGCCCTAAAAAATGGTGGGCATGCTCTGCTCCCCAGAGAGAGAAAGAGAGATGGGGAAAGAGAGAGAGAGTTTTAGCAGTAGAGCGAGAGAGTGAGAGAGATTTGAATCAAGACGACGATTTATTGATTATAGAGAGATAAAAGGGGGGAGAGAGAAGCATGGCAAGTGGAGGAGAAAATGAGGAGAGAGAAGAGCATGTCTCTCTCTTCGTTCTTGCTTCTGATCTCACAATAGACCCTCGACCTTTCCTTGAGAAGTCTCAGAGGGAAGCAGAAGAAGAAGAAGAGAGAGATATATGGCATGAATGTCCTTCTTCTCTTGCACCTGAAGATTTCTCAGACCTCGACATGCTTCAGGTCTTCACTTTGCAGGGAACTGATAAGCATGGCAATCGTATCGTCCGTATAGTTGGAAAGCTCTTTCCTGGTCAGTATCCACCGCTGCAATCTCTCGCTCCTTCTGAATTTCTGATGGGTCTTCTTCTCCTTGTTTTTTATCGCGTTTACTGTTGGTTTTATATATTAGTTCTATAACATATGAGGCTTTACAATTTTCTTAAGAGGAAGAAGATCATCAATAATTGTTGCTTTGAATCGGAAGAATCTGACCCATTTATAGGTTGCTTAGAAAATTTTATTCAGGTCTTTGTGGATTGGATGAGGAATTACTTCTTCCCGATATTTGCTATGGTAAATTTGACATTTTGCCTTTTCTTTGTTAGAATTAATAGCTTGCAATGGGGCACTAAAGCTTAGTACTTCGATCGACTCCTTGTCTGCAACTTGATTCCCTGTGATCGAGCCTATGTTATAAACTTTATATGGATTGTCTGATGTATCTTAATGTAACCATGAGAGAGAAGGATATAATAGGGTAAAGTTAGTTTAGTCCTACGATGATGTAATATGACACATTTCTGCTCTTTAATTTGTGGAAATCTCTTTTCCCATCCTTGATTGGAATTAAAAATTCAACATGGATTTCTACTTAGTTATCATTGAACTGATATTTTAGAGTTTAATCTGGGGAAATTTGGTCGCTGCATATGAATAGCCAAGTGAACTTGACAAAAAATCGTGTTATCTTGTCAGTGTCTTTTTTCATTTCCTTATGGCTAGAGATGAAGCTCAATTGTTTAGTTAAATCAATAAATAAAACTTTTTTTTTTTTTTCATTCTTCTGTCGTTCTGTGAAGATACACATCTAAGAATATAATAGTTAACTTTTTCTCTTCTCCTTGATATGGTGAAAATTGGGAGCAACATGCATTTCCGAGCATCATTTTTATAATTGGAGGAGAATCAGTTAATTCCTTGATGGAGTATTCTTTGTAATACAAAAATCGAGCAGCCAGTTATAAGAAAACAAGTTCATGATCCCTTTTTTTTTTTTGCCAATAATTGTATGTTGCTGGTTTTCCAGCTCCAGTGATCAGTGGGGAGAGGCTGAAAAGATACATCTTGTATAAGATATCAAGTGAACTACAAGAAAGCCCATTTTGCATTGTTTATATTCACAGCTGTGTCCAGAAAGAGGATAACTCTCCAGGGATTTCCATTCTAAGGTGGATTTATGAAGATCTTCCCTCAGATTTCAAGGAGAGACTCCAAATCGTTTACTTTCTGCATCCAGGGCTTCGATCTAGGCTCTTTGTTGCGACTTTCGGGCGCTTTTTAAGTGGAGGGTAAGTGAAACTTGCTATGGTTAATAATTTATCTGCTTTGTACATTTTAGCATGAATAAAGGTTTTTTGCTTTTCAATGAATCAATGTAAATCTATATGTAAGCCTGTAGGTGATATTGTATCACAATCGCCCACGCTCTTGGATGGTTATTTGTATTGCATTCGGTTAGTTTATTTGTATGGATTTTTCATTTGGTTTGCAGTTTGTACTCGAAAATCCAATACGTTAGTCGGTTGGAATATCTTTGGGATGAGATCAAGAAAGGGCAAGTTGAAATTCCTGAATTTGTACAATCTCATGACAATGATCTTGAGCACAGGCCTTTGATGGACTATGGCATAGAGCCGGACCTTCTTCGTCTTCAGGAGATGCCTTCTTCATATTCATATATGAGGCAAGAAGAAAGATGGGCTTCACGGGCATACTCTTGATGTGTTTAGATTGTTAAACACTTAATTATGAAAGTTTGTGTATACTTCATAATCTGTCATGCATAGAGAAGGGGATGTATTCGGTTTTATGAACTTGACCAGTTACCCAAACTAAAATGTATGAAAACGTTGAGTGTTGTATGAAACTATAAATTGAGCACTTTTGTTGGCTATTAATATGATTGCATTTCTATTTGGTGGTTAATTTTCCCGTGCTTAGTTTAAGATCTACTGATTGATTTAGCAGCAATTTTGATGTCGTGAGATGTCTTGCTTCTGTTTGGGGATAACATCCACTTCAGATCTATTACTCCCTGTGTTGTGTCAGATTCAAGCAAAATCAACTCTTTGAATTATGTTCAGGCTGTCTCGTACACAAGACTATAGTGCAAAAACATGAGCATGGGTTTGATCGACTCAATTGAGTGTGTGGCAATGTCATTTTTGGGGGTGACTAATTAAGCCTTTCGTCTCTATAGTATTTTGTTTTCGAGGAAAATTACTTAATTGAGTTCCTTTGAATTCAAAGCTGAGATTTGAAACCATTTGGAACTTTAGAATATTTGAATTGCAAAACCCACTAGGCTACATGCTATAAAGAAATTATATTATTGGGTGACTTTAACTGAGATGGCCGTTTAATTAAGGAAAAAATTTATATAAGGTTGCAACCTTAAAATGTAGAATTAAAGGTGCACCTCAAAAATCCATCATAAAAGATTGTTTTGATGTTGGAAAACCCTCTAATTGATCATCTCTACATAGAGACGTATGAATATGAAAAAAAAAAAAGATTTCAAGGCCGAGAAATAGTGTATCTTGCAAAACATTATCTGAATTGTCCATTTTCATGATTTTTATATGTTTATAGATCTACTTGATTTGAACTATTTTTAGAGTTTAAAGTTTTACCATTACATATGACAATAGATTCTCAAGCCATCCTAAGAATTTTTTATATTAAAATTATATTTATGATCAAATTTAGAAGTGCGCCTTAATTAGATTGTTTACCACACCCATTGAGGAAAAAAAGATAATTTACCAGAAAGCACTTAACAGATTAGTTATTAACATTTCACTTATTCCTTTTGGTTTATTTTCGAAGACCTTTGAAAGATATGTGATCATGAGTTAGAAGACTTGATATTTTAGATGTGATTTGATAAATAGGCAGAATATTAAATAGCTGGTATTTTAGGTATGGTTTGATAAATTTCCTTTCATATAAATCCTCAACATAAACAGGCTATTCTTTTTGTCTACCCCACAATGATTAAAAAAGGAAAAGACAAAAAATAAAACGGAAAATCATAGTTCCATTACGCCAATACCTACATCTTAAATAGATGAACGAACCATGGAATCTGATAAGAAAACCTCTACGATCTAAAACATAAGTTTTATGGTCACTAAATATTGTGAAACCCCTCTAATTAGATTCTGCTTCATATAAATGTGATAAATAACCCAAGAAAAAAAGTTGGATGGCCCAAACATGCCATTCATTAGATGAATGGAGACAGGAGAAGCATTTCTTCTTTCTAGGACTATTGGTGCTTTGTGATGTTTTGCTAATACGCTTGGCTCCAAAAAGCAGTCTGTGAGGATATAAGCAGATGAATCAGACCACTTTTCACTTTTAAATGGGTTCAAAGGAAAAGAAAACTCTCTATTCGGTATGTCAAAGGGTGTGATTTGTATAATGAGGCATGCAAGGCGCACCTTTATATAGTGCGGAAATATATTGTTTTATTATCGAAAATCTTTATGATGGCTTGAAAATTTATTTTCATATCTAATTATAAAATTTAAATATAAAAAAAATATTCCAAATCGAGCAGATCCATGAACACTTGAAAATTTTAAAAATAGAATCTAGATAATACATTACAAAATACATTATTTCCAAGACTTGAAATCTATTTTTTCGATCCATGCATCTTGAAGTCGAAATGATCGACTCGAGTGTTTTTAGCATTGCAATAACTGTTTCTGGTGAAATTTTTTAAATGCGCCTTAATTTGAATTGTTCAAGGTCTCACCTTTATATAAACTTTTTCCTTTTTCAAATGTATAGACATTTATCATGATTTTTCATGTTTCAGATCAAGGAGATTGCATCAACACATGTACTTGAACAAATTTGACGGCTCCATCATCGTTAAATTCTTCATATGTTTGCACCAATGTTATCATATTCCCTTAGCTTTGGCCTAGGAACCTGAAGTTAGGGTTGTGGGTCGGATGGCCGCTTCGGCCTAGTTACCTGAAGTTAGGATTGGGTCTGATGGCCGCTTCGGCATAGGAACCTGAAGTTAGGGCTGGGTCAGGTGGCTGCTTCACCCTAGGAACGTGGAGTTAGGGCTGGGTTAGGCGGCCCGTCATGAAAAACTAGGGCCTAGGCCACAAAAATGTGGCCCAAGGACCAGGCCCAACCATAGCGAGGGCAAGCTCGATCCAGCCGTTTTTTTCCCCGTATTTTTTTCATTTATTTCTTTTGAGTCTTGTAGGCCTGGGCCAAGGTTAAGCCTGGGCAAGGGTTGCTCAGGCCATGGCTCAGCCCAGGCTCAAACCTAGCCCTTTGCCCATCCTAGCTGATTGTCTTCAGGTTTTACACCCAAATCAAAATGAATCAAATTTAAAACATATTCTTTAAGGTGACTTGGTCTTCTTTGGCCCCTCTAGCCTTCTCGGCAAATCGTTAGATTTTCAACACCTAATCTTTATGTTTTAGAGGGAAATTTATCACATTAACTATTCAATAATTTAGCCATTTGGAACTCTTCCAACTCAATACCAAATGTTTTTAAGTTTTTTTGGTATTTAAAAATTAAATCAAAAGATATGGGAGTGTTAAATTGCTAATCGCGCATAGTAAATTTGATATTGTTCTCTATTTTTTAATGTATTTGAGTGCAATTTAAGTGAAAATAAAATGGGAAATATTGCTCCAAATAATATAAAAATATACAACAGGCCCATATTTTTTCAAAGGAAAACAACCATTTTTCTCACGATAAAAGACTTCATTATCATTTTATCATAATCCCATAACAATTCTTTACATTTTTATCGCTCGTAGGGAGGGAAAACTTTTTTTTGACAAGGATGGGGATTCATTTTGAACATCTTATTTCGCCTTTTAGGTAATTTCAAATATAATTAAAATTCAAAGCATTCGTTCATTGAATTAGGAAAAGCGAATGAGAAAAGTGTTATGATTTGGGGAAAACCAAGTGAAAAATGAACAAGAACCTAAGAAGCCAAGAATTCTAATCCTGAGTATTTTATTGTTTTCTTGTTTTGTGATGCCTAATCTGCACCATCTAAATAAATGAACACCGTAGCTATATGCAAGCTTATTTCAAAGAAGTAGGGTTACAACCTTATAGGAACCGCACTTATATATGTGTGTGCGCGTAGGAAAATGCCACTTAAACCTTAAACCCACTTCAGAAAATCATTAAGATGGTCAAAATGATCTCATTCAATATTAGGATGTTTACTTAATGATCTCATTCAATATTAGGATGTTTACTTAAAAGTTTCATTATACTCAAGTATCTCTATAAAAAAAAATTCAAAATTTCCTACTTATTCATGATGGCGAACGCCAAAACATGGGGTACATTTTGATAATATAGCCCTACTTAAGTGTCTTAAATCAAATGACAATAATGCCTAGATTCTTCAAGGTTGTTTAGTAACCAAGAAGTGCCAAATAACAATAACATCACTAGTTACACAGAACTCACTGTTTTAATCGGAAATCTATTACAAGACAATCGATTACCAGGAAATATGACATTTCAACTATTTTGGTACACTCTGTAATAAAAAAATGGAAAAAGATTATCCGAGATTTTCTCAAAATCATTGCACCTGGTAAAAGGTGAAAAATCTATTTCGCCACTTGATGGTAATTTAACGTGGTGAAAAATCTATTACGCGTTTGACAGTTAATGTCGCGTGCGCTCTGCCCTATACCAGCTTAATAAAATGCCAACGAGTCTTCGTCGGTTTTCATACATGACTCTAAGCCCGTCCCCTGTCTCTTGAACCCTAATAACTGATTTGAATAAAGTTCATCTCTCTTTAAGCCCCTTCTTCTCATGTACTTTTTTTTCTTTTTTCTTTTATTAAAGCCCCTTTATCTTTAAGCCCCCTCTTCCCATCTGGACTTTTAAGCCCCTTCTTCTCATGTACTTTTTTTCTTTTTTCTTTTATTAAAGCCCCTTTATCTTTAAGCCCCCTCTTCCCATCTGGACTTTTTTCGTTTTTTTAAACCTCTTTACTCTATCATGAGAACTTTGTCTATTCTCTCTCTTTAGCATATCCATTCTCCATAGCATATCTAATCAATGAAAAATTACACAATACAATTATAATAAAAAATTTCACCCAACATAAGAAATTAGACAACACAATTATAATAAAAATTTTCATCCAACATAATCTTCATAAGAGATTAGTAAATGCTCAATTCAAATAAGATACATCTTTAGTTTCCTCTAATACCTCAAAATTTTGTACTGCAATTATCAAACCTTCTAATTTACTGATCAAACTTCTTCCTATTTTTTAACTTGTACCATAAAGATTTTTAATTTGGTATCATAAATTTATTACTTATTTGAAATTTTATAGATAGACATTTGAAAGACATCTATAAAAATAAATAAAAATAAGGCCTATCACAATAAAAACATGTTATTCCAATCATATTATTCCAATGACTTATCACGTTGAAACCAAAGTCTAATCATATTAAAAGACATGTGATTCTATGTAAGTGCCAAAAGCCTGCAAAACAAGTAAAAAATTGTGTGATGATGACTTTGGAATGGTACAAGTTATTATTAGAAAAAAAAATTTGGAATGGTGATGATATTATTATTGGAAAATATTTTTGGAATGATGTGATGATGACTTTAATTCCGTATTTCAGTGGAATTTTGTGACAAAAAAAAAAAAGAAATAATAGTTTATAGGCAAATACTGGTAAAATGTTGGTAGTGCATTTCCCATATTTCTTCTAGATATAGCCAAACAGTAGTCATGTATTTCCCAGGTTGCTTCTAACTACTACCCAAACAGTAACAACCCATTTGCAAATAATGTATTATGCAGTAATGTGTTACACCACAACAGTAACAATCCATTTTGCAGGTAATGTATTACGCAGTAATGTATTACGCCAATAATATATTTCATAGCAACATATTTCTAGGTATCCAAACAACCCCTAAACGATCAAATGCACTATCATTATTTGACACTAGCCACTTCATTATAGCCAAGTTACCAAACAAATTGGAAATTTTCAAAAAAAAGTTTTAGAGGCTATTGAGTAAAATAAAACTTAAAAAATAAATAATATAATGATAAATGGGGTGTCATCTGACTACCATAATCATCTCATAAAGTTGTTTGAGGATTAAGGGATTTTTTTGCCAACATAGATATTTATTCATCTTAAAAAAGTTCCAATATTTGGTGGCTCAAACGTATTGCCCGTTTTTTTTACCCAAGTTCGATTCGCATTGGAAGCGACCTCCAAATTGATTATGCACTATTCACTTCTTATAGGGCATCAAAGCGATGGTATGCTATTTTTTTTTTTTTCTTGAATTTTTTTTCATATGCACCATTGCTTCATGGAATTTTGGGCCAGCACCCCTAGTTTTGAAAAGTAGAAAAAAAAAAGGAAAAATATCTACATAACCTCCATTCAAAAATTTTATATCTAACATTTTATATCTCAATAGACCCAAGGTTTTAAAATATATTTTGGGTCATAAATCCTAAATCTTGTATCTTCTAACCTCCTGAACTAACTTTATCTCATTTAAACTTTTTTTTTTACTCTAAATAAATATAATAAAAATTTATCCTTTCTAAACACCATTATTTCTCTCTTCATGTGATTTTCTCCTAAATCTCTCTCTCCATTACTTTTTCCAAACTCTGTCTCTCCTTATTTTCCCACTCTCTCTCTCTCCATGGTTTATTTTTCTTTATATATTTACTTGATTTCTATGGATTTTTTCTAGTGATTGATTGGATATTATTCGCATGGAAGATTAATCATATGTAGATTGTGCCTGTTTTTTGAACCCAAACTGAGAGAGGGGTTTCGAAAAACCCTGGTAAAGAGAAAGCGAGAGACCCAAAGAGAGTGGGGAAAAATACACAGGTACGGAAAGGGTTTGAGAGAATATCAAGGAAAAGAGAGAGAGAGAAATTTGAAGGAATATATCATGCAGAGATTAAAGGTCTAAAATGAGCATGGCTTTTTAATATTTGTTAGGATTAAAATATATTTAAAAGTGGGTAAAATTAATCAGGCGAATAGGAGATATATTTTTAATCTTTAGGTCTATTGATATATGAAAACAAAAAATAAGAGGTACGGTGATATTTTCCCCAAAAAAAAGAAAATGTACCCGCTTATCTCCTTAGATGTAGGCAAATGAAGTATTGTATTAGACAATAAATAGACAACTTCAAACTTTAACAATACAAAAAATAAATAAGTCTCCAATCCCCCTAATCCGCACCCCCACTCCTCACCATTCCAAGAAAAAGAAAAAACAAATGCAGAAAAAAAAAAACAGACAACGACAAAAAGGAAATTTTGTGTCCTAAGCCGCTGCTTTCCTTATCTGAATATTGTGAGTGGACTGGATCCTCCAGATTGGCTGCCTTCCACTCTGAACAAGAGCAATCTCTTCACCTTCCTTCACCATTCCCTGCTTCTGAAATATCGAAGTCCCAATCTACTTAGAGCAGTCATACTTTTTATCCAGGAGAAAGAAAATTACAATGTGACTTTCATCACAATGAAACAATATATGCAATTCAAAGACTAATTTCTTGAAAAATGGCAGAACAAGTCCCAAATAAATCAGAAAATGAGACACACACACACAGAACTATGCTTCTCACTTCTAGAGTTATTTGTCAATTCTGCAGAAACAGCGTTGGTTAAAAAGAACGAAGAATTGAAGGCTCTTGAAGTTTCTTGATTTAGCTATCGGCTTACCCCACAGGTAAACCCATCGTCTTTTACATGAAAAGTGATAACTCATCCATCATCGTTCAGAATTTTTCTATGTCACAGCATACTCAGATTTATAAACGCATCTAAATATGAAAGAATGAGCAAGTTTATTTTAGAATATTTTCCTGAATTTGGAATAAAAAATGGAACCAATAAGATAAAAAACAGACAAATATTAGGGGATTCACCTGTAAGAAACAAATAAAACAACTTGTCAAAAAGAGAAACAGATAAAATAAATTTTTATGGGTGTAAATTTACCTGTAAGAAAGATATGGCATTTGTAAAAGTCTGTTCAGCATCAGTAAGGAATTCCATGTATATAGGACATACACCCTGGTATAGTGCCAGCCTCTGTTTTACTCTCTCCCTACATAAAAACAAACACAGGGTAAACAGTGTGAGACGATCTTTCTCTTGGGGAAACTATGTAATGGAGCTCCTCAATTAAGGAATACTAACAATTTTATCCAACACATTTAGAAACAATCACCATACAATCTGTCACTCAAAAGGACGCAAACACACAAAAAGGACAATAATACCCTCGAATACTAAGGAAAATTATGGATACCCCCTAAAATGCCCTTTGTAGATATTACCAGTGTTTCAAAATGAGGCCGCATCGCCGCATATGCTGCCGCATCATACAAGATGCGCTCGCATCCCCATCGCAAACTGGCGCATATGCGCTTTTGACATATGCGGCCGCATATGCGCCGCATCAGGCCGTATCATGGCCGCATCGTGCCCCATCTGTTATCTGCAGAAAAGATTATCGATTTTGCCCCTCGGGGAGGGGCAAAATCGTCTTTTTGAACTTCCAAAGTTTAGAAAAACTGTTTGGGGGGTTATTATACCGCCTAAATGAAGATTTCCAGCCATTTTTGTGGCTTTTTTTACATCAAATCGAGGGAAAAAAAAATTTTGGTGGAAATTTTTTTTTTAAAAAAATTTTGGTGGAAATTTTTTTTTTCATCCAAATATTCGATTTGGCGGTTGTTTGATACTTGGATGTTCATTTGATGCCTTTGATTGTTGATTTGGGGATGTTAAGGTGAATTTGTGATAAGAAATTGGGAGTTTCAGAGGCCGTGAAGAAATCGAGCACTACTTCACAGAGTCGGTAACTTTTTATTCCTTCTTATACAATAATATTGTTATACTTATTTTTGGGGCAATATCTTCTTCCCAATCTTCTAGTAACAAGGATCCGGCTTGGAAATATGCTACACTAAAAAATCCGAAAGATAGAAATTGTGTGATATGCTTGCTCTGTGGAAATACTTAAATGGGTGGTATTTTTCTACAAAAAGAGCATTTAGCCGGAATTTCTGGAAATATAAGAGCATGCCCACAAGCTACAGATGATATAAAAAAGGAGATTAGAGAATATTTGGATAGATTAAAAAAATATAAAGAGAAAAAAAAAAGGAATTACTGGATGATATGCAATTATTTGATGATGTTGATGATGATGATGATATGTCTGAAGTTGCTATGAGTCAAAGGGGTACTCATACTCCAACCTCAAGAGAAAGAGTTATAAATATTGGTGGTAGTACTGAGAGAATAACCCTCTCTAAGGGGCCAATGGATTCTTTTTTCACCCCTAGCTCCGAAATTGTGGTTCAGGAGAGAGAAAAAAACAAAACAAACCACAATTGAAAATAAATATAAGAAAGAACAAATGAAGTCGGTATGTAAGTGGATTGCAAAGTCGATTTACATGGGCGGCATTCCTTTTAATACTATAGCTCTAAATAGTTTTGCATGTATGGTCTAGGCAATTGGGCAATATGGCCCAGGACTTATTCCTCCTTCACTACATGAGGTTAGGGAGCCCTTGTTGAAGGATACTGTATTTGATGTGAATAAAACTTTGATTTCTCAGAAAGAAAGGTGGGAGAAATATGGGGCCACTATTATGTGTGATAGTTGGTCCGATTGGGAAATCAAGGGCATTCATTAATTTTTTGGTTAAGTGCCCAACAAGTACCTTTTTTTGTTAAGTCTATTGATGCATCAAACAAATCACATGATGGTACATACTTATGTAGCTTGATGGATGAGATTGTCGATATTGTTGGGGAGCAAAATGTGGTACAAATTATCACTGATAATGGTGCCAACTATGCTGCAGCTGGGCGCATTTATTGACTTTGAAAAGGAAGCATATGTTTTGGACTCCTTGTACAGCTCATTGTGTTAATCTTATGCTTAAGAAAATGGGTACAACATCTCTATTTAGTGGGATGATTTCAAGAGCTATGTTTGTTATTGGATTTATTTACAATCACACCATAGTCCTAAGCATGATGAGGTCTTTTACAAAGAAGAGAGAATTAGTAAGACCGGGTATCACTAGATTTGCCACGTCATTTCTCACTCTTAAACGTCTAGCCAAGGAAAAAAGTGCCTTGAGGACTATGTTTGCTTTAGGGTAATGGAGTCAAAACAAATGGTCAAAGCATAAAGATGGGAGAAAAGCTGAAAAAATTATTCTGAATACATCTGTTTAGAGTCAAATAATTATTGCATTGGAGGTGGCTCGCCCTTTAGTGAGAGTGCTTCAACTGGTTAATGGTGATGCGAAGCCCGCCATGGGCTACATATATGAGGCAATGACTAGGACAAGAATTAAAATAAAAAATGTTTTAAAGGATGATGAAAATATGCACAAGGCTATACTTGAAATTATTGATAGGAGATGAGATACCCAACTTCATAGGCACCTCCATTCAGTCGGTTATTTTCTAAACCCATCTCTTCACTACAAGCACCCATCCATTGAGTCAGATCGTATAATAAATGGTGGGTTCTTAAATGTGCTGGAGAGGTTGGTGCCAGACAAAGATATCCAGGATGAGATCCAGAGCCATGAATTGATTAAATTCATGTTAGCCTTGAGAAACTTTGCGAGAGATATTGCCACTCAAAATAGGGACACTACAGATCCAGATAAAGGGTAAAAGCCCAAAAATAATCTTACTTGTCTTTTACTTTATGTATAGTTCCATTGTTTATTTTATACCCTTAATTTTTAACTATATTCTAAATTATAAAATATTATACAGCTGCATGGTGGACATTATATGGAAGCAAGACACCAAATCTACAACGCCTCGCTATTCAAGTGTTGAACCTCACATGTAGCTCATCTGGTTGAGAGCGCAATTGAAGTGCATTTGAGCATGTAAGTCCTTTACTACTTATTCCTTAATCCTTATTTCTTGAATTTCAATTTTCTAATCTAAAATCTAATTCATCTGATTTCAAATTTCTACCACAGCTCCATACAAAAAAAAAACAAAGCAATACGTTGGAGCAGAAAAGTTGAATGATTTGGTTTATGTGCAGTATAACGAGCGGCTTAAGGAGAGGTAAAAAAATCGCACGAAGCTCAACCCCATTCAATTATATGAAGCTGAAGGTGATTCCATAAGTGAGTGGACCATGGATCCAAGACAAGAGCGTGTGTTTGAGGGTGACGATCTTACATGGCTTGATGTCGAGCTAGCAATAGGGGCTAATGAAGAAGATCGACCTAGCACTAGAGCACAAAGGAGTAGAGGAGCTGCTGGGTCTAGTCGCACTAGCACATTAGCTTCAGAGGTCGAGGAGGTGGAAGCTGACTCAGAGGAGACCGATGAAGAACAATACATGGAGGCCGTCAAGGATGATATTGATGATGCACATGACGACTCTCAAGATGATTTGTCTGATTGATATTTGAAAAAATGAAGTTCAAATTTCAAAATTGACTCTCAAAATGGATGATTGTATTAAGTTATTAACTATTAACTCTTCTTGAGCTTGACTTTTGGTTTGTATTTTGTAATATCACTATTTTGTGCTTAGGGTTGGTTGATGGTTGTGCTTATAGTTGTGCTTATGATGCAAATTTGTGCTTATCGTTGTTGATTGTTGAGTGTTTTATGAAGCTGGTTTCAAGTTTCTAGTTTCTAACAGGGGAAAGTGGATAATTGGATATAGAATCTCCGATAGCTAATAGTTTTGAAGTTAATCATTAAACTAAAATACCTACTGTTACATATATCACTTTCATATTTTTTTCGATGTATTAACTTAATAGTTTAGATATTTTAAAATTTTTTTACATTTATTGACCGCATCATTGCGATGCACCCGCATCCGGGCCGCATCGAGCCGCATCGGCCCCCCACCGCATCAGGGCCGCATCTCGCATTTTAAAACACTGGATATTACACCCACTAATACTTTTAGCATCACACCCATAACCCAATTATTGTTTTTTCTTGCTTTTATCCCCCTAGTCAAAAAGTTATTGTTTCAAAGACTAAACTACCCTTTCCCTCACTTACCCTACCCATTAAAACTCTCTCTCTCTCTCTCTCTCTCTCTCTCTCTCTCTCTCTCTCTCTCTCTCTCTACTCTACTACTACTACGTACTACGTACGTAACGTACGTACGTACGGTACGACGTACGTACGTACGTACGTACGTACG